GCTCCTTTACTTGGTATTTGCTGAGTTTTTAATTTTTTTTAATGTCAAAAATAAAAAGAAGTTAACAGAGTTAACTCTCTATTAAGTTATATGACACATGTCAAATAACTAGAGAGGGGACATGAAGGGGACACCAAATTGGGGACAGCGGATCCGCTCCCATATAGTGGACACGGGTCTCACTTTATTGGCGCATGCCTCTCTGCCTTCTTCCTACTAGATTGAGGGCATGCAGACATCTTATTAACCGACTTCCATCCAAAACTTTAGATTTTATTTCTCCATACCAAAAATTATGTAATAAACTTCCTCATTATGGTTTTCTAAAAACATTTGGTTGTGCCTGCAAATGCATAAGCTTACAATCATCATAAGCTTCAATTTTGTTATACTAAATGCATTTTTTTTAGGCTATTCTCTTAATCACTAAGGATATTGGTGCGTGAACCTTTCCACCAACCCAGTCTTTTTATCTTGTCATGTGTTGTTTGATGAACAATCTTTTCCTTTTCATGAGACCTAGGGGTCTCTGTCTCCAGGGATGTCTAACTCGTCGGTAGTTCCTATGCCACCTCTCCACATAACTGAGCCTTTCCCTTTGTCCACTCGTCTTCCACCCATTGCCGCCTCACCTACTCTAACCCATGTACCTGACACAATTACAAACCCACCTGTTCAACCCGGCCTCGCCTCACTCCTTGAACTTGTTTCTAGCTCACTCCGCGTCTACCAACATGATCCAAATCGCCATATCTTTCCCTTTCCTCTCCCATCACCTCCACATGTGGCACCTATTTCTCAAAGTTCCTCGAACACTCTCCTTCAACAGTTGTGCCTTAAGTTAGGGACCCTCCTGCTTATTCTATGGTGACTAGAGCTAAATCTGGTATTCACAAACCTAATCCTAAATATGCTCACACTTCTATTTCTTTATCTTTTACTGATAACATTGTTGAGCCTACATGTTTTACTCAGGCTAATAAAGTTAGGGAATGGGGGTTAGCTATGACTGATGAATTTAATGCACTTCAGCAGGCTGGTACTTGGGTTTTCGTGCCTCACACATCTCTATGAATGTTTTGCCCAATAAGTGGGTTTTCCGTTTAAAACGGAATTCAGATGGATCGATTCAACGTTACAAAGCCAGACTTGTTGCTAACGGTTTTCATTAGCCGGTGGGCTTAGATTATGGAGAAACTTTGAGTCATGTTGTTAATCATTCTACCATTCAACTTATTCTAGCCTTATCTGATCAGTTTCAATGGCCTGTCCATCAGTTGGATGTTCAGAATGCCTTTTTACATGGCCATCTTGATGAGAAGGTGTCTATGCACCAACCCACTGGTTTTGTTGATCCTCAATTCCTTGACCATGTTTGTCGCTTTCGCTGATCACTTTATGGGCTCAAGCAAGCCCCTAGAGAGCTTGGTTTCACTTTTTCTCCTCTCATCTTGAAGAATTAGGTTTTCACGGCTCCCAAGCCGACTCCTCGTTGTTCACATATCTCCATGGTATGATTAGAATTTATTTATTAGTTTATGTTCATGACATTCTTGTTACAAGAGATGATCCCTCCCATATTTCTACACTCATCCTTGACTTGGGGCTCATGTTCTCTATGAAGGATCTTGAGCCTATACATTATTTTTTGGGGATGGAGATTACTAGTAATAACAATGGCTTCTCACTTTCTCAACATAAGTATGTGCGCAATTTATTAACTCGTTTTCATTTGCAGGATGCTAAGCATGGCTCCACCCCTGCTATCAGTCGTCATCGTCTTAGCCTTCATGATGGTGATGACTCTTTGGAGGATCCTACTGAATATCGAAGTGTGGTAGGTGCTCTTCAGTATCTCACTTTAACTCATCTTGATATTATTTTTTCTATGAACCAGGTGTGCTAGTTCATGCACCAACCCACCACCTCACATTGGCTTGTTGTTAAGCGCATCATGCGTTATCTCAATGGGGCTGCTACTCATGGAATGTTCTACAGACCTGGTCATCTCACTCTCACAACCTATTCTGATGTTGATTATGCTAAAGACCCAACACTCGTTGTTCTACCATAGGCTATTGTCTATATATTAGTTCAAATTTGGTCTCATGGAGTTCCAAGAAACAAGGTGGTGTTTCTCATTCTAGCACTGAAGATGAGTACTGCCAATTCGCTCAAACTAAAAACCAGCTTCCTCAATGTCATTATAGATATCATACTGGAAAGAATCCTCCTCAACATCACTATGTCAATCAAATGTGATGTAGAACATATGGTAAAAGCAATCAAAGAGAAACTAAAGTTGCGCACGTGCAAAGACAAATCGGGTAAATTGCAAATTTGGGTTCTGAGCTCTGAATCGGGCCCATGACCCGTCAGTTTGAAGGGAATGGCGTCACAAGTAAAACACATTGCTTTGCTATGATATATGAGCTTTTTCTGGCATCCAATATCGTTTAGAGCCCGAAATCCAGTTTTAAAGATTTTACAGTTTTTGGAAACTTTGTTATTTTCCTATTTTAATTCATTTTTATTCCTAGGGTTTCTAGGAGTATTTAAGCATACTTTAACCGTGGTTAAGATTATGTTTTGTTATTATAATTTTATCAATAAACCTTTACTTGTTTTAGGCTAAGGTTTAGCCAATCAATTGTCATACTACGTCCGTTGGTATCATAGCAGATATGGCCGGCCTTGTGAATAACCAAGATGGAGGTGATAAGACCCATAGAACAAGGAAAGTTGTCACTCGTGCAGATTTTGAGACCCTTTCGGTGGTAGTGGAGGAGGTTCGACCTTTATTATTGGGCATGGGAAACCAAAACCCCCTACCGCGACCTAGTAGAGGTGCCTCCTTACAATGTCCTGTTGTTGAGAGACGTCTTTTCCTTGTGAGTGACGACAAGTCTGAAGAAAACTCCATAAACTGTCACATCCCGGGGTCGGCTCCGTCATAGCATGATATTATC